TAAATATCATGCATGTCTAAACTGATTAAATTGACCAAAATTCTAGTTAGAAGCTATTTATGGTATCAAATCAGGATCAATCTATATCAGTACTATTGTGATCAGTAATGGTAAACCAAAGGCTGATGGTCTTCGTCATCGTCAATTTCAGCGGAACAAACATGAAATGTAAGTCTGCATTTTGAGTAATCTTTTTTATGGTGTATCTTTTCTCAATACGTGTCTAACTTTGTTTCAGACCTAGGTGTGATCAGTTAGGACCTCATTGCTCAATTGTAGAAATGAAAGCTTATATAGTCTATCCGAAAAGCTGTGCTGCAGATAAGTCTTGCAAATACAATTTCGCTAATGTTATTCAAATTCGTATTGACGCATATATTTCAAGTATTTCACTGACATTCAAATTTGAGGACGGAAGCTCCAGTGAACTTGTGTTGATAAGATGCAAGAAAACTACTTATTCGTCATTTAATTCAATGTTACGGTCAGTGCGCAGTGCTCGAAGCAGTAAACTATCAAGTAAGCAGTTTTATGCTCCATAGATTTTTATATGTGTTAGCACTAATATTATCGCTGTTCATTTTTGAGAATCTAAATTAGTAGTAAAAGTCAAAAGACTCGAGTGCTGTACAATTGTGTTCTGGGAAAATATTTAAATCTATAATTTTATCGACAAGTCAAGTCTAATATTTAAAGAATATTGAATGCTTCAACTTCTGCGAATTTCGTAAATCAAGAAATTGAAATGTGCATATGTTTTTAGTCTAGAAGTATCTTGATAATATATTGTGTGTCATTTTAAGTCCATTTATGAAATATGATGAAATGCCATTCTTGAGTTGCTAACACTTTGATGAATCTGAGTCACCATGGGTCGTGATCAAACTGATATTTTAGTAAACCCCTCTTTTTGCATCGCATTTAAAATGGAAATAAAAATGTGCACTGAGTAAAACATGGTTATTCATCAATTGAGCAGTCAGTTTTTGTTTTTGAGAACTTTTTCACTAATGAATTCTTCGCATGATAAATTGCCAATTATGACTTGAACAACATCTATGCATTAATTGGCAAAGCAACGTATTTCCTTTCCACTCTACTCAATTTGCATTATATCATTAAATATTGAGCACAAAAATTGTTTTATTTTTTTGTATCGATTAGAACATTTCAAGCGACATTGAGTCACAACAATCTATCCATAAATTGCTATGAAAGTCACTAATTTCTATACCGGAATAGAAGTCAGCAGGGCTTCGCGCTTACTATTATCGTTATCGTTACCACTCTAAGCAGCTAGATTACATCGATTCGGCCAATATACCAGCATAAGTCATTTTTTGTTTTTCTTACCTTCTAATAGTCGAATCAACCGCTTGAACAGTCGTGTCTGTGGGTTGCAATCACTGCCGTAATGATGCAACAGTCCTTTTATAGTCCTTTTCACCTTTTGTCGTGATAAGGCCTTTGTGTCTGAGTATCTCTCGGTGAACAGAAAGCTTCATAGGATTGAAATTCTGCATAAACTTTCCATATCCATTAACCGTTCGTCTGATATAGAAGTAATTCATTAATTGTGTATTTAATCTACTTCCTATACCGTATTTGCTTTGTTATCTTTTATACTTGTGCAAGATACATCCTATAATCAGTAGAGGAAATATACATAAATCAATGATAAAGTACAATACTAAATACTTAATCAATTTAGTTTTGATAACATAAGTTGATATGAATGTAAATTGACAAAATCTGATGAGGATACTATGATGAATTTCAGTTAAATAAAAGAGTCCGAGAGCAGGTTTCCTTACAGAAACGATCTTAAAAATCAGTAAGAAATATTTGATTTGAAAAGAAAGCATTTTTATGCGCAATTTTTGTAAAGAGAATGAAAAACTGAAAAAATGCCTGCCAACTACTAGGGAATTCTCTATCGGATAGGCCATTTACTTTTGCCTACTAGAATTCAATTGTATGGTGCTCGCTTGAAAGATGCCGAAAAAAAATTAATTTTTAATATGCCAAAAACATTCTTTGATGGTTGATTTGTCACTTTGTTCGTGTGAAGTTAAATCTGAATAATGAAAGTAACCTATGAAATTCAAAATATTTACTCGAGATAAGCAAAGCGAGACTGTGGATCTATCTAAACAGCAACATGTCTTCATTAGATAGAGATTTGAACCTATCTGTTGTCGTTCTAGTGATCTCTAATGTTTTATGAATGACTCATGGTTTTACATTTAAGAATAGTAAACATGCATTAAGCCTAGTCAAAGCAACATAATTCGGGAAGTGAGCTTCCTGTCTTAATTTTGATCTTTCCTGAAGAAACCTTGCAAGGATCAGTCAGAATCCTGCTAAGTTATTATCAAAATTTTGTTTAAAACTTTTTATTTCTACAACTCTAGTATAAAATTTGAATTGTATGGAACTTACTTAAGAGAATTTAAAAATAATCCCATATACATATATCAAATCCACAAAATAGATATTCCGTCCTTTTGGTGGAATATCATGTTCTTTTATACATTTAGTGACTCAAGACGAGACAAGTCTTTCTAGCTGAAATTTTTAGCAGATTTTAATAACTTTAAGAGTTGTCTGTGGGCAAAACTTCAACCCAAAATTCATTTGTTTATTTTTTCTAATAAATGTGTCGAACGTTAAAAATTCAGCGTAACGGCCGTAAATCCAAAAAGGCAGCGCGTGTGAAAGGATCCTTCTAGGGTACTTCTAGTCTCAACAAACTCTACCTAAAGATTGGGATCTCATCTTAAAAGCAAGATATCACTTCGACCCATCCCTTCATTACTCTACTTTCATCACTTTATTGCCTCTATTAGCTCTTCTATCAGTGCAGAGTAAGTTCTATAAATAGTTCGTAGGTACTACAAAATAAATCTATGACATATTACAATGCTCAATAAGTAATTGATTGTGCATCGGTCACATAACTTGATCTCTGTCTGACTAAACAAACAAAAGTGAAGTATACCATGATGAATTTTCACTCAAAGAAATAGTTTGATGCATGTTTTCACATGAATATAATCTTTAACAAAGTAAAAATGGTTTGATTTGTGAAAAAAGCATCAATATTTATTGTCAATTTTGAGGACATAATAGAATATTCTGTTCCTGCTCCATCAGGTTTTCAATCCAGCGAATTTATTTATAAATAGCGTATAGTAAATTTGAACTGTACTAAAAGAGAACCATAGTTCTCATGGATCAGCTCTCACTCGCAGGTAATCTTTCATCCTAAGTGTCATTAGTCAAGTGAAACAAATCGTATTCAAAGATGAATTTGAGAGCACTATGTTTATTAAATAGCACAAAGAAATTATTCGGTTACTAATTATGTGCTATTTCTTTCCCAAAACAACACTACAACATGTGCTCTCATGTGGAAAAATTAATTCACGACAACAAAAATGAGATAAAGGGAAGGAAAGTTTCCCATATCGCATGCTACATTCCTCCTGTAAGAAATTATCATCTCAGATGCTATCCCAATCTTCCCTGAGTAACATCAGGAAAAAAACGATCAAAAGCTTCATTTCCTATAGAAAGTCAAATAAATACATCACAACATAATTCCAAGACTGAGCATTCGACAGACTGTAAAATGAATTCGCAAAGATTATTTGATTCATCCACATCTACTTCCCAATGTGAAGTTTACCAACGAAAATGCTACTATAAAGCAGGCATTTACTCTAATAACTTAAAGCAATCAGCATAGAACCTCCGAACCAAGAAATCAGTTGGCTCCGAAAACCAAGAATTCCTAAGATCACTAATGTGTCAAAGTGTTGAAGAAGAGAGCCCAATCGCATCAAACGATAACCGAAGCCTACAAAATAATTTACTGCTTTACAATCAATGACACAAACAAAGTGATTAAAAAATAATATGCTAACAAAACTTTCATCCACAAAAATCATTACATTGTCTAAATGAGGAACCATATAATTCCGGCTAGCACTCACTACACACAAATGAGATATCTCCAAAAATTATGACACGAACATTCATCATATCGTAGTTACCAGCTATCCCCACCCGCCCCTCCAACTTCAACCACATAATTCCACCAATTACTATATCATATAGCCCGCGACTAACCAACCTTTATAATTTGCAGCTTCGGCATGCACCGACAAAAAGAAAAATGAAGATGAAACCGATGTCGACTGTGGCGGTTCATGTACCGCTTCCGGAAAAAAGTGTGATGACGGCAAGATGTGCAAAGTACCATCAGATTGCAAAAGCAACCTCTGCTTCAACAGCCGATGTGCACGTACGTATTTTCTTCTACGAAAACAAAAGAAAACTTCACTTCTTTCCATAGTATCCGCATGTAACAATTATGCAAAAGACCATGACGAGACCGACGTCGACTGTGGAGGCCCATGTGCAGCTTGTGGGAAGCAGTGTAGCGATGCCAAGGTGTGTAAAGTATCATCAGATTGCAAAAGCAACCTCTGCTTCAACAACCGATGTGCACGTAGGTATCTTTATCGTCTCAAAACATTGAATACTCCACTTTCTTCTATAGCTTCAACCTGTAATAATTATGCGAAAGATCGGGATGAGACCGATCTCGACTGTGGAGGCTCATGTGCGGCTTATGGGAAGAAGTGCAGTGATGCCAAGGTGTGTAAAGTATCATCAGACTGCAACAGCAACGTCTGCTTCAAAAAACGATGTGCACGTAGGTATCTTTATCGTCTCACAACATTGAATCCTCCACTTCCTACTATAGCTTCAACCTGTAATAATTATGTGAAAGACCGAGATGAGACCGATGTCGACTGTGGGGGTTCATGTGTATCTTGTGGAAAGACGTGTGATGACGGCAAGAAGTGCAACGTTCCATCAGATTGCAAGAGCAATATCTGCTTCAACAACCGATGCGTTCGTAAGTATCCGGTTATATCGAAAAATCGAACACTTGTCCTGTTTCTATAGCTTCGACGTGTAATAATCATATGCAAGACCAAGATGAGACCGATGTCGATTGTGGAGGTTCATGTGTATCCTGTGGAAAGACGTGTGATGACGGCAAGAAGTGCAACGTTGCATCAGATTGCAAGAGCAATATCTGCTTAAACTGCCGTTGCGCCCGTAGGTATTTTTTTTGTATCGAAAAGTTGAACACTTGTCTTGTGTTATAGCTTCAACCTGTGACAATCATAGGAAAGATGGAGATGAGACGGATGTCGACTGTGGAGGGTCATGTGCTAGTTCTGGAAAGAAATGTGACGATGGCAAGGTGTGTAAGGTACCCTCGGATTGCAAAAGTAACGCATGCTTCGACTGCCGATGTGTTGGTAAGTATCGTAGTCGATCTAGAATTCAATATATGTCTTGTTTTCATGTCTTGGACATGTGGGGGTTGTGTTAAGAGCTCGCAATGCCATCGGATGAATTGCTGAAGAGTGAGGCCTTGAGACTGTGACTCTTGTAAATTTATGATAGATTTGTCGGAGGAAGTTGGTATATTTTATATGGGAAGGGGTGAAATATCGTAAATAGGCCGTATGTATAAAAGTTTTTATGACTAATATGGGCGTTTTTGTATTTTTTCATGTTGAAAACGTTTGAACAGAATATTAGGATTTTGGTACTTGATTTGATTCATTTCCCATGATTGTAGCGGCAATACGCCTTGTTGTTGCAAATTTGTCTTGAATAAGTGATTGTTCTTCTTGTCGCGAAAATATATGCGATACATACTGCAGAGGGGGAGTGGCGTTTTATTCCGAGTTTCATCAGTTGAGTCAGTACATTTGCATCCTATATAAGTTCATTTTATCGTCCAATAATTTTCTCAGCACAGTATCATTTGTGGGAGGGAACTTTGTGATATAGTGCTGAATTAGGATGAACTTTATATTAACCCTGTTTATATGCTTGTATATCAATCTTGTTTTAACTATCGAAAGTGAATGAGATCACTTGTGTAGTGACTGACACCTACAGTGCGGTATTTTTGCTGCGTAAAATGCGAAAGCCCATAATATTGATTCTAGTTGTAATCTACAATAGAAATTTCAGATTCATAGAGTGTTTTGGAACACTTTGAAAAGTTGTGTAACGATGTAGCTACTGTTAACCCGTGATGGACCTTTGATTTTGGTAGGAAAACGTGCGCAATAATGGTTGATCTCCATAAGCATTTGTTGGAAAATTGTAGCCGTTTGTTGTTAAACGTTTACCCTCCTCTCGCGTTGTTATGAACGCGCACTCGATGATTCTTGGCTTTTCGCATCTCATCCACAATTGCTAGGGGTTCATGGATGAGAAGGAGACACAAGTCTCGATTTAGGCGGATACTCACTACTTTCTTGGAAAGTGTAATTGAGTTCCACGAAATCGAGGCAAGCAGATAATGACTGCTGAATCTTTGTGCGTAACAAGCCGAAAGAGAAGAAACCGAAAACACTAAGTGGAATTATCGGATCGTAAGAGGTTTGTCTGCTCAGGCAGTGAATGCATTTGTAAATGCCCTGTTGTGACACAAACATTCAACATTCTTGTTGTGTTTACAGCTCCGATATGCCGAGATAGATGATGATGTGGGTATCGGTGTTGGTTGAAGATGCGAGTGAATGAGTATTTTTCCACTACACTACACATTCGCATCCATATAAACGTGCACAGTTTAAAGAATCTTGTGCTGTGTTTTGTCTTGCTGGTACCAACACCGTAACAGCAGCCGCTACTAGTAAATGTGCGTTATGACACGAAGATTCTTTCGAAATTTTATCATATGAAAATTATTTTATGATGATTCTCTTGCTAGTTTAAATGAGAACGAATTGTTCTGCAATATGCTAGAGTTTGATTAATATTGATATTAGGCACAACAACAACAAAACCAAGAACGACAACAACAACAAAACCAAGAACGACAACAACAACAGAAACAACAACAGAAACAACAACAACAACAACAACGACAACAACAACAACGACAACAACAACAACAGAAACAACAACAACAACAACAGAAACAACAACAGAAACACCCCCCTCAACAACAACAACGACAACAACAACAACGACAACAACAACAACAGAAACAACAACAACAACAACAACAACAGAAACAACAACAACAACGACAACAACAGAAACAACAACAACAACAACAACAACAGAAACAACAACAACAACAACAACAGAAACAACAACAACAACAACAGAAACAACAACAACAACAACAACAACAACAACGACAACAACAACAACGACAACAACAACAACAGAAACAACAACAACAACAACAGAAACAACAACAACAACAACAACAACGACAACAACAACAACGACAACAACAACAACAGAAACAACAACAACAACAACAGAAACAACAACAACAACAACAGCAACAACAACAACAACAACAGAAA